GACTGTTGCGTGTCCTTGTGGGGGGGAGGGGGGGGGGGGGATCATTCTACACCACTAGAGAGAGACATTAGTACGCTGGGTAGAAGTACACAGAAGTACCTCACTGTCTCCTCTCTCCCCACAGATGGCCGACACCATCGACATCAACTTCCAGAGCGACCTGATGGCCATTTTTGAAGAGAATCTGTTCTGAGGGACGGACACACTTTACCCACAATGCACTGGCTCATGTGCGTGCGTGCGCACAAACACACACTGTTGATAGTAACTGTCTCTAGTATTTGCAACAGCTGGCTTGTGTCATGTGAGCAGAAAAAGTGAAAATAGAAAAAATACTAATCATATATATACGTATATATAAATAATGTGTGTATATATTTAGATATTTTATGACGGGTTTCAGGCGGTTCCTTTGTGGGACCACTTTGATCCTCAGAGACCTTTTGCCTTAGCGCTCTGTAAGCTAACAATCATCCACGTGATGCACACATGAATACATGCAATAATATATGGATATTACATGAGTACTATATATATATATGGATATTATATTTATGTTATATGGATATTATATGAGTACTATATATATATAATATACAAACAGTATATATAATATAGTATAATATATATATATATTATATATGTATGGATATTCTATACAACTGAGGGGCCGCGTTGGTTTGTGTGTTTTGTAGAATTTACTGTAAAGAAGATCAAGTCCTTTTCTACGGCGGCGGCGTTCTGCGGGTTCCCTTGTTTCCTGCTTCCTGTTTCTTGTCCTTTTTTTTTTTACCGTGTCGATCTTCTCACTTTATATTAAAGGTTTTATTGATATTTAATTTCTACGTTTTAAACCTGAAGTTCCTCCAGTTTTTCTTTTTTTTTACTCTTCTCTCTTTTTGTTTTCCTCCCCGACACGTTGTACAATTACTTCTTGCTTCCCGTTGTCACGGTAACCGGCGTGGATTTGTGTGTTTTTATTTCATTTCTTTTCCCTCTTGATTTATTTGAAGAAGCTGTCGGTGAGTGAGGTCACATCATAGACCGTATTTTTTAAGAAAAGTATTAAAATAATATTTAAAAACAATATTCGTGTGTCAGAGTTCTGAACGTGTGTGTGTGGGGGGGTTAAGTACATGAAGTACACAAATATTACTAATCATTATGGTACTAATCTTAATATTGGTTAAGTGCTATTCAACAAAGTATTTTTACGCCGTACCACTACCAATACTGAAACTTGTACTTTATTCTGTACTACACCTCGGAGGTACATGATGTACTTTATTCTGTACTGATGTAGAATAATGTCCCGGATGTTTGTGGCTGAGACAAAGAGTCACATGACCCCACACGGTCCCGTTGCCATGGTGACCCTCTGGTTTGGCGAGGCTGCTCCCGAGGCCGGCGTGAGGAGCTGTCGTCCTCACCCACCAGATTTACCTCACCATGGCAACGGTGATGCCGCCGGGGGCAGCAGCCCTCCAACTACCTCTGGATCACATCTGGTTGAAGACTGGCGGTGGGGGGGCAGGTTTAGGGTTTAGACTGGGACTAAACTGGGAGCTTCTGGTCAGGTGGCACAGGTTACTGGTCGCTGCCCCACTGCTCGCCCCAAGCTGAGGAGGAGAAGATGTCCACTCAACTCGCACCTGGACAGGATGCCGCACCCGTGGGCTCCTTCCGCTCCTGCGGTCGAAGAAGAAGAAATCGAGACGTTGTGACGTCAGCGACGGGCTCGGGTGCCGGACCATGAGAGGTGCAGGATGCTGGACCACCAGGTGGTCATGGCCAAAGGCCACAGGAGCGTACGCCCCCCCACCCCGAAGCGCGGGTCTGCTGGGAGACGCTCAGACTGCCCGTCTGAAGCAGACCACACCGCCCCGGATCAAATGCCTCAATTTACACCTATTGACAACCTCAACCAACCCCCGACCTCCCTGGAGGTTCTGTCACGAGTCGTCGCTCCCAGAATCACAGCTTCAGAAAGAACAGGACAGTTGACATGGTCTCCTCAGCCCGGGCAAGTCCAGGGAAAAGTGCAGGGAGCAACAAGAAGACCTGAGTACGTTCATTGACCTCTGCAAAGGCTTTGACACTAGAGACATTTTTGTGGGGACATGCTACTCAGGTTTGGATGGCCCTACTAATGGTCCTA